TCACTTTAAAATTTTATTGTGTCCACCCTGTAATTCAATTTTTTATATTAGTTGTTCATTTTATTAAAGTTGTCCACTTTGAAATTTTATTTGTGTTTGCCCAATACGAAAATTTTTATTGTTAATACATATGTATTCATCTTGAAAAATATTTCTGGATCCGCCACTGGTTATTGTTCAACTCGTCACAGTTAGGAGTGATTATTGAGCAAGTCGATCACGAGTTGGACAATGTTTGATTCATGTTCATTAAAAAATTTGTTGCTTGATTCGACTCATTGCTCATTAAAATTTTGTTCGACTTGTTGCTCATTAAACTCGATGCTCGTTAAGTTCATCGAAGTTTTTATCTTATTTTCTTAACTATAAGTAAAATTTACTAATATCATATAGAGCTTAGCTTAATATAATCATAAATGATTAAATTTAACAAAAAAATATCGAAAGAATGTATGAAGTAATTTCAAAATCTAAACTCTAAAATAACAACTCACAAATACATTAAAATAATAATTAAGATTTGATTTTGAGTGTAGTAAAATATTAATTAATAATTTAGTTTTTTTTTTGTTTATTAAAAAAATTAATAGATTAACAATTTATATCCTTTTTATTATCTATTAATAAATTAATAAATTTTTTGAACGAAATAAATTTTTAAGATAACTACTAAAAAATTATATTAAAAAATTAAAGCGCTGGTCGCGAACTTATCGAGTTAAGCTAGATTTTGCTCGACTCAACTCGTTAAGGTTTCGAGTCGAATCAACCCTAATTGAGTTTTTATCAAATTATGATCGAATCAAGTTCAAACTACTCAACTTATTAAGCACCCCTAGTCTCAGTTGAGAATGTTCACCGATTAACGCTGTCTAATTAATCAAATTTATGATATTTTATATATTAAAAAAAACTACCCCGACTGATGGGTCTCGTTCAACAACCATCTTTCGTCCAAATAAATGAGTTGATTAACTATCCATTGAACGTTTGGGACAAGCTTTAATAATCTAATTAATGATATGACATAGTCAATATGTGCTCATTAAACATTATTAAAATTTATGTAATACAAAACAATTTGTTAAGAGTAAATTTACATAACCCTGAATTGTAAATTTAAACTTTAAATTGTAAATACTTATGGATAATATTTTTATTAATTTAATAGAGATATAAAAAAGTATTTATTATGTACAGAAAGCAAAGACTCTCTTAACAAGACAATGAAGTATTTCGAACTTACATGAAGTTAATCTTTGATAACAAGTCAGCACAACTCAGACGGCTCCCACTATACCAGTGAGAGAAAAAGCCCCGTAAGTAAACCTAATCGATCAACCACCAACACTCGGTGCACATGTTTCGATACAATCTTTTAGATCACTCACGGTTAGTCCATATCTGTTACTAGCAACTATGACTAGGCCCTGGATCCATCATTGTATCCATTTCTGGTGGAGTAACTCTTTTTCCAGTAAGCATTTCCACGGTGGGGCATGTTCTTTTCCGCCCACCCCTTGGCCTTGATCGAAACTGCTCATCGGACTCTCTATGAAGTCCCCCTGAGCAGGAAACAGTTGCCAGAACCATTAATATTTTTCTAACATGAAGAATACCAATGACAAAGTACACATGCTTATAATACTATTTAGTTGTTGACAACAAGCTTATAATGTCGTTTAGTTATTGACAAGTAAATAACTTACTGGAACATAAACATGGCGTGTTGATTTCTCATGGTTATCTCTAACATGCTTGTAGGCAAATCTCATGCCACAACCAGAGAAGCTACATGCAAAAGACTCGAGTTCTTCATGCACAGCCTTGACATGCTGACGCATATTTGATTTCTGTAATAGAATATTTCAGTATAATGGTTTAAAAAGGAGGAAATGTCTACAATCAGAAAACAATTTTAGTATATGAAAATTTCTTAGACCAAAACGATAACATTCAACTTCTAATGATTGAGCAAGTAAAAAGCATATTTAAGGTCCACAGCATCTTACAGTTGAAAATGTATGGAGGCAACCTTCAATATCACACTTAATCTTTTCTGATCCAACGCCTGATTCATGTGATTGAAGATGCCGCTTGATGTTCTACTTAAGCTGCTTTGCGCCACATATTTGACAATTAATCTATTGGTGGCATGATTGCACATGAGCCCTAAGGTACTGCTCATTAGTAAAATATTTCATGCAACTTGGTTCAGAACCGAAGGTTTCCACATAATCCAGCTTAACTGTAACAATAGTTACAGCATTAATCGGACAACATGCAAATCACCTCCTAATTAAGAAGGCTTGCTTTTCGTTTCTTTTCACTTTTTCTTTAAAAAGAATAATTAAAAGGTATAATCTTATGATCTCACTCACTTTATGATGCCCCAAATCAGATGCTTTAATATAATTCTGAAAATGGGGACTAAATGCGACTTACCATGAGAATCTTCATGCTTTCTCAGCTTTGATGCAAATTTGAAAACCTTTCCACATCCTACTTCCTGACAGACGTACTGCTTCTGATTTCCAGCATCAGGAGAAGGTGAATCTTCAGCATGAAATTCTTTCACGTGCCTTTTCATATTGCCTTGAAATGCAAATTATTTATTGCAATTCTGAATTGTACAACTGAAAAGTTTTCCTTGGTGCTGAAGAAGGTGACGATTCAAGTGGTCTTTTCTCCTATAGCTGACATGGCAATCATCAAATGAACAAACAAATGGCCTCTGCAATAAAAGAAAATGAAGTATTAGAACCTACTAGTATAAGTAGCAACCAACAATAATCCAAACATTCAAACCTTCAAGTACCAAACAGCGTGACTGAGGCTCACTTGATGAAGCTTCTCAGGAGGTCTCCCGACCTGATATTGGTCCAATCAAGTCGTAACAATGTAGCCTCTTCATGTTGAGTTCTTTTTGTTGGATCCAATGCTTCACGCTATAACATCCATTGAAATTTTCATAAAGAGCGACGACTCCTGCAAAATTATTGATCTTTAATATAAATGAACTACCATGAAAAACAAGATATTAGATTATACACAGCTTCCTTGGTTGTTGCATTTGAGACTTCTTTGGTTATCTAACATTTGCATCTTCAAAATTTATATAACGCAAATAACAAAAACCAAGATCATGTTTTAAAGTGTTTTGTTACCCAGTTTTCGTCAGTTAGATCACCAAACATTATTAAAAACCTGAATGAAACTAATTAATCATAACAAAGTACCACAAGAAAATGGCTTTGCAAGTGATGCTTCAAATGAGCAGGCTTCCTGAAAGTAGCACCGCATTCTTGACATCTATTCAATGAGAAAATTTCCTCTTCTTCCTTTCCTCCATGATCTACCTTCTCCAGAACCAAACCCTAAGTTGAAATGAATGTTTAGTATAAATCCATTTTTAAAAAGAGAAAGAAAGAAATTACATAGGTTGACTGCAAAAGAAAAAAAATTAATAATGGAGAATCAAAGTAGTACCGGGTGGTAGGTGAGGATGTGCGAGGTGATGAGAGACTTCTTTGATCTGCAAATTCCACAATGGTCGCAGAAATAACGCCTTATGTCTTTAAAGATCGGTCCTGATTCTCTTTCTCCTTTTTCTTCATCCATCTCATTACACTCTTGTTTTTCTCAGAAGAAAAGTTTTCACTGGAAGTGATCATTGACATTGAGAATTAGAGGGATCAGTAAATATACATTCCAAACTCAAATACAGACCAAAGCCAATTCAAGACACTTGAATGAAAGAATAAATCTTAGTGCTATTGTTAGGTAGGAGAGCTTTACTTCCAATGAAGCCAAACCCAAGACAAAGCATAGCTTAAGATTGAGCTCAAGCTCAACTCCAAACTTTCAGCTTTGAGCTCAGTGAACTCAAACAAGTTACATATTTTTCACTCAAGCTTGACTCAAGAAAGATATCAAGCTACTTTAGCTCACTCCATTCGACTTGTGATCTAGTAAAAAACAAGTTCAATTAATAAGCTCAAGCTCGAACTGAATTTTGCTATCATATACTAAGAGTTCATTAGATCAGAGTTAATAAATAATGGTATTTATCAAAATAAAATAAAATGCAACCAAATCCTCAACTTTAAAAAACAAAATTAGTTCATTTGGTGGAAAAACCGAACAAATACAACAATAGTGAGTAGCATCTAGCACTAAATATCGAACATAGAAATTAAAGTTTTTCTTTTTTGAGAAACTCCAATTTAAAGTTATTTTTTTAAAAGAATTCCGATTTTTTAGCTCATACAACAAAATCGAATGCTTGTCATGGATATCTTCATCTGATTAAGTCTGTGATTCGAAATTCAGCAACATCTGAACAACATAACAACAAATTTAACCTAATCCTATAGATACATGAACATATAAGTTTGGAGTAGAAAAGCTACAAATATTCCATACCATTAAGAAGCCAAGCAAAGTGATCTATAATCTGGAGATTTGAGAAGTCAGATATTGAAATCTAGGGGAATTGTGCCTCTCCGGCCTTTTCGAGGTAGAGCTCCGCGTTCAAGTAGGGAAATTTGCCACACTAAGCCGAAACCCTAGTTTAAGACTCCACGTCGTCGTTTTAGTCTTCGCAAATGATGCATCCTTCTCCTTAATCAATTGGATAAAATACATAAATGGTCATTAAATTATAAGTAAATTTTGATTATTAATTTTTTATTAATTTCAGAGATGATTTAAAATAATAATTAAATTTATAAAATAATTATTAAAATATTATAATGATTATTTTAAGATAATTTAATAATTTAATATTTATTTATAATTATTGAAATTTTAATGTACTTTACACTTTGTTCCTCCCCCCCCCCTGTTCCAACCAAACTTGATGATCTGAATTGGGAGGGGCGAAATTCTCGTGAAAAACATAAATGCAATAAAAATTTATTTCAATTCCCTCACTTCTCGTGAATCCATAATTAGCTTCCACTCTCATTCAATAACCCCGACCCCTCTCATTAACTCCTATGTTTTGCTTTATATCAACTCCAAGCCAAAAAATTTCACTCGCTCACTCTTTTAAACAATGGCTGCATATTTCACCGTTTCTCTCATCGTCTTATGTTTATGTCCAATTCGCTACTCCTTTCACGGTCATCATGTCGGATTCCGGCGTCCCGTCCACCCTCATAGACGGTCCTCTAACCAGGTTTTCAATGAACAAGAATGGGTCCCGGACCAACCCCCAAGAGCAAGATGCGGTTTACGATATAATGCGATCCACGGGGAATGATTGGGCCACGGATATCCCCGATGTCTGCCTTGGGCGATGGCATGGCATCGAGTGCATGCCGGACAAAGACAACGTCTACCACGTTGTCTCCTTGTCTTTCGGGGCGTTGTCAGATGACACTGCTTTCCCTACCTGTGACCAGGCAAGGTCTTATATTTCCCACTCCATTACCAAGCTTCCTCACCTGAGGACTCTGTTTTTTTACCGTTGTTTCAGTTACAATCCTCAGCCGATCCCCAGGTTTTTGGGGCAGTTTGGCTCTACTTTGCAGACTTTGGTCCTTAGGGAAAATGGGCATATCGGTTCAATTCCTACTGAACTCGGAAATCTTACTCGTTTAAGGGTTCTTGATCTTCACAAAAACAACCTTGATGGTTCGGTTCCTGTTTCATTAGGCCGGATCACTGGCTTAAGGTCGTTGGATTTGAGTGGGAACAAATTAACCGGTTCGATTCCTGGTTTTAGCTTCCCGTTTTTGAGTGTCTTCGATATGAGCCAAAATCTTTTAATGGGTTCAATTCCACCAAGCCTTGGGTCATGCCAGTCATTGGTTAAAATCGATTTAAGCCATAATCGCTTGTCCGGTTCGATACTCGACTCTTTTAGCGGGCTAAAAGAGCTCATTCTCATGGATTTGAGTTATAATCGTTTGTCTGGCCCATTCCCAACATCACTAGGAAGCTTACCTTCCCTACAAGCTTTGATCCTGAAAGGGAACCAAATGGGACCAACTGTCATTCCTAGTGATCGTTTTGATGGGATGAAGGATTTAATGATCCTAGTTTTATCAAACATGAATTTACACGGACCGATCCCTGAGTCAATAGGCCGGTTGGGCAGCCTTCGGGCTGTTTATCTCGACGGAAACCACTTCAACGGTTCGATTCCAAGCAACTTCAGGGACTTGAAGAATGTTAGTGAGATGAGGCTGAATGATAATCACTTAACCGGCCCGATTCCATTTGGGAGAGAAATGGTGTGGAAGATGGGGCGTAAGCTTAGGCTTAACAACAATTCAGGACTATGTTACAACGCAAATGATGGCTTTGAAGATTCCCTGGATACATCCTCTGATAGGGGCATCGGTTTATGCGATGCACCTAAACCCGGTCTACCAAAGACAGTGCAGCACTTGTCCAGCATCAATGGCGGTATGGAAAGAACAATAAATGTATCAAACGGAGTAGTTCATTTTCATAAAACTTCAGTTTCTGTTAGGTTATCTCAGCTAACAACATTCTTGTTGTTCGTTTTGCTGTCTTAAGGGAAATGGAAGGGCTTGCCATTACAGTTTTGTACATCTTAGCTCGTAAATGAATCAATTGTTGTTTAATTAACACACGATAAATGCATCATATATTAAACAGAACTGCTGCTTGGGGTAACTAAATAATGTAGGAACTTTTGAAATGCAAGCAAATGAGTCAGGTTTCTGACAACTGAGTCCAACTAGAAAACAGATTTTCTAAGTCTCTTTAGCCCTGGATTAAGTTGATGGTTTTATCTCTGCATATGATTTTAGATGTTCATCGAGGAAGTTATGGAGCTTGTGGAACTGAATCCATTAAGGCATATGCTAGTTGGTATACCCGGTGTAACCGGTTTATCAACCGAGCAGCGAAAGAGGCTTACTATTGCAGTTGAGCTTGTGGCAAACCCCTCTATCATTTTCATGGATGAACCAACTTCAGGGCTTGATGCAAGAGCTGCTGCAATTGTTATGAGAACAGTAAGGAATACAGTAGACACCGGAAGAACAGTTGTGTGTACCATCCATCAACCAAGTATCGACATATTTGAAGCATTTGATGAGGTGAGAAACAAAAAAAAAAAATCTTGAAAGAACTGGATGCATTTTAGTTGGTTCTTTATGTAATAGCATAACTAAGATAACATCTTCAATTGCAGCTATTCCTTATGAAGAGGGGAGGACAAGAGATATATGTGGGGCCATTAGGACATCATTCTAAACATCTTATCAAATATTTTGAGGTCAGTTTAAAAAGTTCATCAACTAGTACATTTCTTGGTTCACATGAAAACTGTATCTAACACCGTAGTGTTCATCATCTCCAGGGAGTTCAAGGAGTTAGCAAAATCAAAGAAGGATACAATCCAGCAACTTGGATGCTGGAAGTTACCACATCAGCGCAAGAGTTATCTTTAGGTGTCGATTTTACCGAAATCTATAGAAACTCGGACCTATACAGGTAATAAGTTGTCAGGCACCAAATTTCAACTAAAAGTGTGTAATTTGATTCAACTAATTACTTAGCATATAAGACATCTATGTGGCTTGGTAAATCCTGGCTACCTAAACTTTCCCTCTGATGCATGTCATTTTTCCAGGAGAAACAAAGCTCTTATTGTAGATTTAAGCTCGTAAATGAATCAATTGTTGTTTAATTAACACACGATAAATGCATCATATATTAAACAGAACTGCTGCTTGGGGTAACTAAATAATGTAGGAACTTTTGAAATGCAAGCAAATGAGTCAGGTTTCTGACATGTTTCGTTTCTGTGTTGAACTACGAGACAAATTCAACATTTGCATTTTATCAGATTCAAAGACTTAAGTTACCATTCTTCTGCACTTTATTTCATTTTTAATCATTCCACTGACAAAACAGCTTTTTGTCTCGTTAGAGATTATAAAGCAAATCAATTATTTTTCTTTTATTAATCATTGGTAGGCCTACCAAATAAAGAAGATTAGCCTGTAATGCAGGAGGAGAATCGTTGTACTTTGAAGTTCAAAATAAAAGCTTCAAACATATAAACCCAAGATTAAGGTATCAAACGATCAATAAAATAAAAGGACGGAGAAATATTTAATCGAATGAATACTTTTCAAAATACTTCTTCAACTATTTCTGTTAGACAACAAATCTTATTCCAACGGAAATTCACTGTTCTCATTTGATACTCAGTAGAAACGCGGACATAGTTTTAACTGTCTTAACATATAAATTGAAATACGAAATGAAAAAGATCTTGCGACCTGGAATCTCTCCTGAAACTCCAATTTCAAGAATTGAACAAATTTTCAGTTAACCTGCATGTATCTCCGGGTCATTTTCATAGTTAGTTGCACGACACATAGAAGGAATCACCGAAAGGTCAACTGACCGGATCTCACTCACTTGGTCCATCCTTCCTGATCCAACTGTGATTAATAAATAATGTTTAAAATACTTTATCTTCACAGGAGACCAGGTCAAAGTTTGAAATATTATTTATTTTAATAAATAATGTTTAAAAGACTTTATCACCATGAATGAGTTAAACAACTGTGAAAATGGAATGAAACAGCATTTTTTTTTTCAATGGTTTAGAAATTTTAACCATGGGGTATTTGGGGATAAACTTTGAATTCAAAACAGCTAGACTCAACGGGAACCGGCCAAATCAGAAAGCAAAGCAAAAAAAAAAAAAAAAAAAAAAGGAAAGAATGAAAGAACAACCAACTCCGGCAAACCTTGCCTTGTACATTTATACTCATCATTTTCTTCACTTCTTTCTTTGCTGACACTGCAAATTATATTTCAAGCAGTACCAAAAACCCCAAAAAAGCAGATAATAATTAAAGACAACCCAGAAAGAAAGTATATTTGTTGGAACAATTTGTTGCCCAAAAGCGTTACGTTTGGCATCCTTTATGAATCTGTTGCTTAGAAACTGAAGCTGAAGTGGAGCAATTAGCAATTAAAGTACAGATACAGAAGTAAACAAGAAAGAAAAAGTCTTCAAAACCACTAGGAATTGGTTTCCATTGAGACAGAAAAAAAAGGTTGGACTTTTAGTTTGGTTTTGCCATGGCGTTTTTCTCTATGCTTTGTTGCGGGAAGGGCGATCTGTAAGTTTATCATTGGTTTCCTAAAATTTACAACTGCTTTCTTTTTTTAGAAAAAAAATTATTTCCTTTGGAAAAGTTCTGTAGGGATTTTTTTTAGTGGTTTATGGTTTTGGACTTTGATAAAATGGTAAGGGTTAAAGAAGCCTAGGTTTATTTAGTTTTTGCAAAATATCATCTGCGTGTTTATTAAAATTCCATTACCTTCTGCTTTCCCCCCATGTATGTTACGTTTCCCAGAAAGGAAGAAGAAGGTAATTATAAGTTTTGATCTTTCTTTCCTTTTGGAAATGTGATTTGAGTAGGGAAAATACTTAATTAAGCTTAACCTAGCTACTTGTTTTTCGTATTCTGGTGTCATATTCACAAGGATGTGCTGATTTTTACCTTGAAAGAAAAGGGTCTTTTATGCAGTCAATTTGATCCCCTCTGTTTTAATGTACTTATCTGTATTGCGTCATGTTTCTTCTATTGCATTCAGTATCTAACGTTGTATGATTCTACAGAAAGGAGAAGCAGCAGCCGACATGGAGGATTTTTTCGTTGAAGGAATTGCATTCAGCTACTAATAACTTTAATTATGATAACAAGCTTGGAGACGGGGGGTTTGGCAGTGTCTATTGGGGTCAGCTATGGGATGGATCACAGGTATGAATTATTTTGCATTTTCTGGGTCCTTTTAACTAAGCGAATTACCATTTTGTTGCATCCTATGTTTCCCTAATCTGCATGCTTCAAAGGGTTTGTTGGTTAATACATACTTATGTCTTCACTTTCCTTGGCATGATTGATCTTCTTGTGGAATATCAGTTAATTTGTTGTTTCGAGGAAAACTTGAGTAATATCAAATGTTCTACCTTGCATGTACTCTAGCTTGAATCTAGTTTTCTATTTGCGAAAATAGTTCTACTTTGCAAGCCAAGCATTTTCCTGGACTGATTACTGTTATTTTTACTGTTGATATCCGCATGAATCTCATGTAATGAGGCAGAAAAGGTTATACTCGGTTGAACTAATGGTGCTGAACAATGGGACTTGATGTACTGGAACTTCCAACCTAAAACTGTTCGACGATAGGTGTAAGGGCTAACTTGACAAAGTCATGACAAATATGAATCAAAATGATGTGAAACAACATTGCCTAATATTCACTCGTAATAGGTGCAATGGAACAATCTTTAAAATAGAACCTCTCTTCCCCTAAACAATGCATTTTGTCTCTGGAATTTCATGTTTATTTGTGTTGCAATAAAAAGAACCTTCTTGACATTTTTCTATTGCTTTATGTTTCTTTCAATCTCATTCTCCTTATATACTTGCAGATAGCAGTTAAGAGGTTGAAGGTGTTGAGCAATAAAGCAGAAGTGCAGTTTTCTGTTGAGGTTGAGATATTGGCAAGAGTTAGACACAGGAATCTACTGAGTTTGAGGGGTTATTGTGCCGAAGCGCAAGAACGCCTGATTGTATACGACTACTTGCCCAACCTGAGTTTGCTTTCACACCTTCATGGACACCATTCGGCAGAATGTCTTCTTGATTGGACCAGAAGGATGAATATTGCAATTGGCTCTGCTGAAGGAATAGCGTAAGTTTTGGAACCGATTTTCTCTTTTATTCTAACTTGTTCCAAGGAAGATGCTAACCCAATCTCTTTCACTCGATCACTTCAGCTATCTTCACCATCATTCAACCCCACACATAATCCATAGAGACATCAAAGCTAGTAATGTGTTGCTAGATTCAGATTTCCGGCCTCAGGTAGCGGATTTTGGGTTTGCAAAGCTCATCCCTGATGGTGCAACACATGTGACTACTCGAGTCAAGGGTACCCTCGGCTACCTTGCCCCTGAATATGCTGTGTTAGGAAAAGCCTCAGAGAGTTGTGACGTGTACAGTTTTGGCATTCTTTTGCTAGAGCTTGCCAGTGGCAAGAAACCCCTAGAGAAAGTGAGTCCAACGCCGAAACGCCTGGTTGCAGAATGGGCTCTCCCACTAGCTTCCGAGGGGAAGTTCAGTGAAGTGGCAGATCCGAAATTGAATGGTAAGTATGTGGAAGGGGAGTTCAAAAGAGTTGTCCTCGTTGCACTTGTTTGTGCTGATAATCGGCCAGAGAAAAGACCTACCATGCTTGAAGTTGTCGAGCTGCTCAAAGGAGAGTCCAAACAGAAATTAAGTGAACTAGAAAACAATGAATTGTTCAAGAACCCACAATTTTCTGTTTGTAATGGTGAGACATCGGGCATCGAAGAGAGCGCAGGCATAATCAAGGAAGAGATGGATCCTGCACCGGTGAAAGAGAAAGAGACAGGGCAGGAGAGTCCTCAAGATGGCTAATGCCATGGACAAAATTGAAGAATTTGATGTCAAAATGTGTATCTTTGATATTATAAATATATACTGCTGTATGTTTCTTTTGCTATCTTGTTGTCCACTCATAAAAGGTGGCAATGGCAACTCACTGTTGGAACCACCAATGCCAGCAACATAAACCGTGCTATAAATTGAAAGCATGTTTTTACAAGTTCTATGGTTTGTCTGGGGGGAAACTTTCTGTTCTTGTAATCATGTTTTCATATAAATATTTGGTGTACAGCCGGTTTGTCATTTACATCTCTAATTTGGCTTATTCCATACAAGTACCCAGCAATTTGAGTCCGCAAATCTGCTATGCAGATGAACTTTAATATGTTCTTTGGCACAAGTGTAGCCCGTTTCCTTCATCATTGATTTTGATAAGCATCTAGTTCAATCAACAAATCTCAAATAATTTATGTCCTCTGAGTTTCACATGTATATGGTTGGCTCCAACATAAATATGTTTTAAAAGCCATATCATATTAATTATGTCTTTCAAAATAACGTCTGAACCTTTTTTATTTATGTGATATTGGACGAGTTAAAAAAGTTTTGTTGGAAATTCAAATTAAACAAATTTTACTTTGTCAATGATAAATGTTAATATAAACACTAATCAATCTTTTGGATATGTGTATGTAATAATCGTAGCTTATATTCAATCACTGATGAGTGTATGTTTAAAATGTAAGACATATTATTAAATTTCACGTTTATTAGTTATTTTTTTTAAATTTTTATTATCATAAATAGTTTTTATTCTAAGATGATTTCAAGGTAGTATCTTGAATTCTTGATAACACACGTCCTACAAACGTAACTGCTCCAATTCAAGACCTATAAAGAGAACAATATTCCCTTCGTGAATCTAGAGTTGCTTCTTCTCTGAAAAACTTAGCATCCCTGCTCCTTCTCTTTATCGTTTATTGGTAGGCGGCACCATTAACTGGAGATGAGCGTTCGATCGAGTCGAGTAAAAAACTTTCGAGTTATTCAGGTTGACGAGTCATATTTTATAACTGAGAGTTGACTTGAAATTTTTTCGAGTTGAGTCGGGTTTATAAAATTCGAGTCGAGTTGAGTCAAGTTTATAAAATTTGAGTCATGTCGAATTTTCGAGTTTATATTTAAATTTAATTGTAAATATTTACAATATTATGGCATTATTTGATTCC